GTGTGTGTGTGTGTGTGTGTGTGTGTGTGTGTGTGTGTGTGTGTGTGTGTGTGTGTGTGTGTGTGAGGGGGATGGGGGAGGTGCTCCATGACGGTGAGGAGGGTGTCAATGGGGATCTGAGGTTTTACTAAAGGTAATAAAGTAGGCAATGTGGTAAAAAAGAAGAAGAACTAGTTTTTCGAGAGTCTGTGGATCTCAATCCAAGAGTCTAACAAGAATGAATACCACATATAAGAGTAAAAACTAGACTTCCTACTACTATAGTCAAACAATTGTTGATTCCCAAGTAGGTGAGTAGAGTGGTTGGTATGGGGCTGTTTAGGGATTTGAAAGGGGGGGGGGGGCGCTGAGGGAGGTCAGGGGTCCTGAGGTGGGATACTGGGTGCCATGTGCGTGAACGGTATGACGATGTCCTTAGTTTAGTTTGGGTTATGGACTGACATAAATGGATGTGCTATGTTGGGAGGCTTTTCTTATAACCCCTGTCTAAGGATCTGGAGCTGCTGCTGCTATGTTATGGTAAGGTAGCACATGAATGTGGCAATTTTCGGGACTAGGTTCATGGTTTCTTAGCACGAACATAGTACCGGTGGGTCCCAGCCCGAAATTTATCTCCAGAAACAAGCCATCGATGTCTCCTCGCACCTTCTGGAGCTGCTTGCTATTGCATGAACACCAATCGATCTGGGTTATGGATTACCTTTGGACATAGTGCAGGGAGAACTGTTGCAGAATGACTTGCAGTGGATGCACACTCGACTTGCTGTTATGTTTTTTCTTGTTCTTTGGTTGCTGCATTGTCCGTTCGCATGATGGTTTTCTCACAGTTGTGTTAATTCTCTGTCTGTGTTTGTTTTATCATCACTTCTTTGGTGTGTTGGTGTCATTGTCGTCTTGCTTCATATTATATTATTATAATGATGATAGTGTATTGGACTGTAGGCAGATCGTTTTGCATTGGAGTGCTGACCGCTTTTTTTTTTTTTTTTCCAGTGCTGGTCTTGTTCTTGCACTCTTTATTCATCCTGCAACTGTGTTGTTGGTTATCTGCCGGATGATGAGGCATCTTACTGCATCATGGCTGTCTTATGACCTGGGCAATTTAATGGTTAGTGGTGGGGCATGTTTTTGTGACCTGGGCACCCGAAGGGGTAGTGTTTTTCTTTTGCCGCTGTTTCGGAATGCGTTGAGCCCCTTGCATCAAATGCTTGTGGACTTTGCTGTGTGGACCTCGCCGTGGGAGTGTCAGGTGTATTCATTCAGTGTTTGTTTCCCTCACTCCGCTGTTTGTGTCACGTCCCTCTGCTTTCGGGGGCGGTGCAGATGCTCAACAAGGAGCATGAGAGACTCTCCGATGCCGCAGGCACGCCATCCGTCTCGACAGCGGTTAGTTGAGTTTTTTCCTCTGGAACATCAAAGGTCGGAAATGTCTACCGTGCGTTGCATATCACACTGGGGTAACACATCCGTTGGAAATGCTGTGCTTCTTCGCCGAGGACCTGCTTCCCGTGTGCGTTCTCCTTACTGGGAGGAGTCGACTCTGGTGTTGATGTCGTTTTTGCTTTGTTGCAACGATTTGGCGGATATCTTGAGACCGAATCTTCTCGTCAGACCTCGTGTTCTGGAATTAGTCTATTTCTCATTTTTTTTCATCGAAAAACTGGCTTTATAAAGTAAAGTGGGGCCTTTATTGTTTTTGAGAGAGGTGGTTTGATTAGCCTTTTTCTGTCGTGTCCTCGCACATTGTCCCATTGCATTCCCCTGCTCCCCATCGCATCCCGTTTGTCTGCTCTCTGCAATCCGTGACACCTTATTCTGCTCTGCTGCAATCCCCATCTTCTTGCTCCTAGGGTGTGTAGTTTGTTGTCCTCTGGTCTGGTATACACTCTCTTGAGTTGATACCTGGGTTACGGGCGCAATGATCGGAGGGGTGTGTGCAGTTCCTTGCTTATGTGATATGTGCATTAGACCATGCGTTTCCCCTGGTTCGATGATTTGATTACTTTGATTTGAGATCCGATGATGGTAGTGGCGGCCAATAGGAGACACTTGCTGGCTGCTCTGTCGGCCCCCCCTCCAAGAGAACTTGTGGATGTAAAAGAACTGTTCAAACCCCTCGAGTGTCAAAATGTGAGACGCGCATATCTACGCCCAGTACTAAAGGCTGATTTCCAGCTGCAAAAATGGAAATGGAGTTCTGCCCTCTCTGCATGGTACCCTGCGGTCTTACCTTCAGCAAAATACGAGTCTGGTCCCGTATGGTGCAAGTGTACTCCTGTGCTTGTGCGCCTGAGTGTTTCTTACAGGCTGATGTTCTGGCTATTTTGGCGGGCAGAGGGGTGCAGTCTCCTCGTCTTCTCACAGCAAGTTAGTGCAGACCAGTAGAATGCTCTTTGCAATCTTACCAGCAGCAAGATATGAATCTGCTGCACTCCAGCAGTGTGGTTGTATTGTCGTTTTGCAGTTATGCGGCGTCGGTGTGAAGAATCTCTGTGCTCACAATGAATCGGGTGAAATGGCAATAGTTCTGTCTCTACAGTCTGCTGCCTGTTTCACCTGGATGAGGAGGTCCCACTGTGTTTGTCAGCTGAATAGGCGGGAGGATTAGTTGTCAGCTTTTGGAGATTGACATGAACATCCCGTGTTCCCTTGATGTACTCTTGCCCCCCGACTTTACAGTAGCGTACAGCTTTCGGAATTTGCTAAAAATCATTTATGCCACAACACTCACAATGTCAGTGCTTGGCCTTGTTTGTTGTATGGTTATATTAGTTTGGTAAGACTATAAGTCGTCGTTGATGAAGGTGGAAGTGGTTATGGTGCTTGCCCGAACACAGGTTCGTAATGTGAAACACGTCCGTTAGGCTTTGTGGATTCTCAACGATCAGGACTGGAAGATCGTTCGTGTCATCCATGGAATGTGCGCTACTCTTTCTGCATTGTCAGCTGTGGAGGACTGCAGGGCTGTGTGTGTCATGGAAGGACTGGTAAGTAGGACCTGGACTACTGCCTGTGACATCTCCTGATATCAAGACTACCGTAGTGCCTGAATTTCCCGACATTTGCCAAGGAAGTGATGGAACTCTTAACTCAAATGGGAACACTTGAAAAGAAGGTCGGGGGGGATGGACCTCTCTGACAGAAGTGTTGAGCGTGGAGCATTTGACCTCTCTGAATCAAATGTGTGCATTGTCCAATTTCCCTTTGAAGTCTATGGTTTCAGCATGCAGTGCGAGCACTCTGGCACAGGATGACATGATGAGATGTCCTCAGACGGTGCAGAATGATAAGCTCGCTGTTAGTTTTTTCAATGCGCTTTGAGCAAAAGGAGAATTGCAGAAGAAGCAGCAGAAGAAACAGCAGCAAAGGCAGCACGATCAGCAGCAGCAGTCAGGAATAACAACAGTGGCATTACCAGCAAGAGTCATAGCAGAAATAGCAGTTATAGCCTCAGCAGCAGTCGCAAGAGCCCCAACCACAGAAGAAGTGTCGGTGACAGTAGGAACCGTAGAAGGAACAGCATCAAGACTCCCAGCACCAATGTGAATAGTAGCAGGAGCTTTATCAGGAACAGCAGCACAGCAACAGGAAGAGTAGAGGATCAGCAGCAGGAACAGCACAGCAGCAGCAGCAACAATAATCACAGGAACGGCAGTTGGCGGAGAAGCAGGAACAGAAACAGGAAGAGTTAGATGAACCGCAGCAGGAACAGGAACAGGAACAGGAACATGAACAGCATGACAACAGCAGTGTGAATAAACCGCAGGAACAGCAGGAGGAACAGAAGCAGCAACAGCAACAGGACGAGGAACGACAACAGGAAGAGGAACAGTAGCAGGAACATCAACAGGAATGGCACGCCCAGTAGGAACACAAAAGGTCTTTAGTATGCTCACTGGCTATGAGCATTGGCCGAAGGTTTTCCATTCTGGCTGCTGAGTTAGGAAGGCACCAATGTTGCTTGGGGTACCCAAATGCTTCCCACTGGCTGCTATTTTTCGTTTGCGGCATGGCGCACGCCAGATTGTTGATGAAGCTCGTCGCTTTCTCCAGGCAAATCTGTGGTTACTTCGCCTTGAATTTCATCTACCAATTTGCATAATCTTATGCAAAGGGATAGGTCTTCATCCTACCCGAACTCATCGTAATGCAACACTTGCTTGTGAAGGATATAGTGGGCGTTTTTTTTTTTTTTTTTTGTTCTGTATTTTTTTATATTTTTTTTTTGTGTGTACTCTGGCAAACAACAAATATATATATTTTGCATCGATATATATATGACGATATATACATAATGAGTCGGTGAAACTCCGACGAAACAGTTTGTCACAGCCCCTCGTTTGTTGTCCTCTTCTCTCTCTCTGCCTACGGTTTTACCGGGCAGTTCTGTTTGTGACGATATATACATATATTCAGCCTCCTGATGAGTCAGTGAAACTCGGACGAAACAGTTTGTTACAGCCCCTCGTTTGTTGTCCCCTTCTCTCTCTCTGCCTACGGTTTACCGGGCAGTTCTGTTTGTGACGATATATATGACGATATATAT